GCACCTGCAGAGAGTGACAAACACTGCACAAAAAATTATCGGCTGCCCTCTGCCCTCTTTGACTGCCATCTACAACTCCCGTTGTTTCAGCAGGGCCAGAAACATCCTGAGGGACACCACCCACCCCGGCTTCCATCTCTTCAACCTGTTGCCCTCAGGCAGGCGCTTCAGGTCAATAAGGACCAAAACAAACAGACTCAGGGATAGCTTCTTCCCCAAAGCTGTCACCTTACTCAACCAACATCCAGACTAGTACTAGTACTAGTACTAGTACTCCAGTTGCCCTAATGTATTGTATATGTATGTGTTAATTATGTGTGCACTTTTACGGAGCTGCTCTCCAAATTTCATTGTACTGTGTACAATGACAATAAAGGCTTTCAATTCAATTCAATTCAATTCACTGTTCACAGGATATCTTACCCTAAAGAAAGATTAGGCCTTGCTGACTAGATTCTGAGGCCAATAAATAGTAATGCAAAATGCTGTACAATCAGAGCGGTTTGGTACGGCGTACTTTTCACACGTGCCGTCGTGCTGGGATGTTTTCACTTCATTAAGTATGATTTTTCCTCTTAATAAATGTCTATTCCTTACTTACTCAGATGGACTAAGACACTTATAAAAAACACAACAATGATAACTAAGCTCACATAATAATGTATACCTAATAAAGTGTCAAAGTTTCACACTGCTAACCCTTGAACTGCACATAACTTACAAACATAAACTCAACCAAACTCACAAGAAACAACTTTAACAACATTTCTTCTTGATCCGCCTATCCAGTTGTGTTTTTTGGATGATCAGAAGTTGTGATTGTATTATCTTTCTACGAGAGCCAAGAGGATGTGATCTTGAGTGCTTTAATATGTCTTGTGAATGTGGAATTTGGTTTTGCCACAACAGTTATTGGAGGATGAACAGGCAGATGAGCAGTGGTTTCTGAAAGATAAGCATGTTTCTTCACAGTCCATGAGTAGTGAGCACAGACTTTCTTAGAGGACCTTAATAAGGGAAACCAGGAGAAACTGGGGAGAAAAACGAAAAAACCTGTGAAGGAATTGAGCACAAGGTTTTTGCATTAGGAGAATCTACCTCATAACTACTGACAGTGAATAGACAATCCAGCAAAGAGGGGCTGCTCATGCACCTTAAGTAGGACCCATTATGAAATGAAACATGGAACAAACGTGGCAGCCAGACTCCACTTTGATACTCCAAAAATCCTGCTCCACTGAACCTAAGACCAACACCACACACAGGATCATGGCAAGGCAAAGGGACAACAGAACCAAAGGGACAACAGAACATATAGTGGCTCCTCTCAGTGGAACCAGCGTTCAGCTCTCAGTTTTCATTTAGGAATCCAAATACCAAAATCAAATTATTTAGTGGTCCATTAAAATTAGTTTTGCATACTGTGGGGGGGAGGGGTGGAAGAGGCTCAGGTGAGCAGTGCCAGGGGAGGTGATTGAGCACACCTGGAACCGGTTGGCTAATCACTCTCCCCTCTGTAAAAAGAGTAGCATGCTGGACCTGGGGAGGACTGGTTTGGAGAGAGCTGGAGCAGGACCCACCACCAGCTCGGGAACAGAACCGAACTGGCGCAGAAACAAACGAGCCCAAGCCGGGCGTGTGTGAGTGTGTGTGTGTGTGTGTGTGTGTGTGTGTGTGTGTGTGCGCGATAGAGTGTGTGTGCGTGCAGCACACACGCTCAGAAATAAACCACCTGAACAAACAACCTCTGGTCTGGAACTCTTTCGGGGCACCCACGGTGGAACGACTGCCACACATACATTGATATTTTTGTTTAACTGTAGCAAGCAGTTTAATTAAATTCAACTGCACGATAATCTGTCTAACCACCCATGATCCCTACAGGCTACATCGTTGTCCGCCTTCTTATCAAAATAAGCACTTGGCTCTCACGAAATCTGCTGAAGTTTTTTTTCCCCCAACAGCATCTTTCAGAGTGGTTGCTTGGTCCTGAAATGTCTTCTTTTCTGATTATTAGGAAATCCTTAAATGCAAAACTGCAAATTTGAAACTATTTTAAATTAACTTGTGCTAAGATAGTGTATAACATTATAACACTCGTTTTTGTCATGTCAGCACTGCTGTAGCCACTGTCTATGTCTTTTATTTACTTTATTACATTTACAAATGTAATAAGCATAATCCAAAGTAAACACATTAATTAAGTTTAATGTCAACACATACAAGGACAATATTAGCAGACAACATGGGAGTGGACAAAGTTTATATAAAAAATAAAGAATTACAAGTGAGACCATCCTTCATCTATGGGAAATTGTATATTGGTTACTGGTTATAAATACAGGCAAAAAGAGTCTGTACCAATCTCAATCCGTCCCATCTACAGTCACTTCAACTCCTAAACATGCTCTGCTCAAGACTTGGCTCCACTTTGCGTAAGTACATAACAATCAGATAACAAAAAATTATAACAAAATAATAACGGATAATAAAAAGCTTAATTATGACATAGTAAGATACTTATTTTCTTGCAAAGAATAATAAATAAATACAGTGTCTCTTTTTTATAGTGTTTGCATGATCTATTAATGTTTGATATTTATGATTTGATTTGAATAAAAAATGTTTGTAAGATTTAAAATGCACAGTCAAGTTATAATTATTTTAAGTTTTAGGTTTATGATTAATAAATAAATTGTGTTATATTGAAAAGCTTGGCAGAAAGACAGTTTTGTTAACTGTTTGACAAAAAACATATTTATATCAAGAATCAATAACAAGTTGGTCATCATTATGACGGCAACACCATGTACTGTATATGACATAGATCGAAACCCATTCAAGAATGTCAAAGAAACTCGATTAAATGCTAGTAAGCCTTGTGCTATTTGACAGTGAATTTGTTATTGCAAAAAAAATCGTACAGCTAAAGTAAGTCTGTTTGTAAATATCATTATTGAGTAGATCTGTTAATAATTCTTAAAATTTGAGTAGGGATATTCATTTAGTTTTCAAAATTTAAAAGTACAACTATCTATAGGATGCATTATTTGTATTTGGTAATGAAAAAAAAGACAAAAATCTTATCTGTAGAATAAAAAAGTATTTCCTCTTTCAGTGATGGCTGCAGCATATTTGCTCATACATATTGGTAAGTCAGTGTTTTATTCTACACCTCAGGTGAATTCATATTTTTCTCAAACTTTTGTGGACATTATTACGAATGGCAATGCATGATATTCTGTGATGTTTCCTGTAATCATACTTTAGTTCTGATTCACATTTAGGAAATTATGTACATTTAAATTTTACCTATAATGTCACTAAGTGAGTGTGCGTGGTTGTACCCCGCCTCTCGCTCATTGACTATTGGGATAGGCTCCAGTCCCCCCCGCGACCTTAGGGCAGGGGTGTCTCAAACTCAATTGCACAGGGGGGCTAAAACTCAAAGCACACTTCATGTTGCGTAACTTATATTCTGCTCTTCATTAAAAAAAAGATCCTGTCAATACTATATGCATTCAAAATCTGTACATGCTGGAATATAAAAAATATGAAAATATTTTAAAAGATGTAATTTAAAGTAAAAGTTAAATCATAACATTACATTTTATTGTCCTATTTAGTCAGAGCCTGATACTTGGTATCTTTTCTATGCAACAAGTTAGTTTATGTTCTTCAGCCACAATTGTCACGTCTGGGGGAATGTCTGGTGTGTCGTCACGTCTTGATTACCCATTGTGTACACCTGGGGTTTCCCTCCTTCATGTGTTTAAATAGTCCTCGTTTCCCATGTCCTGTGCCAGTACGTTTTTGTCTTTCGTCTGTCTGTTTTCGTCACCCCACGTCAGGTTTGATTTTGTCACAGCCTAGTTTACTTTATTGCCATGGTCTTGTTTTTCCCATAGCCTTGTTTACCTTATTTGATACTTTGTTCATGTTTTTGTCACAGCCATGTTTTTTCACAGTCATACAATCTTGCTTTGTTACTTTGTTCATAGTATTTTCACAGCCTTGTTTTGTCCCATGTCTGCCATCCACTCCTTTTGAGTGTGTTTTTTGTTTAAATAAAACCCTCGTTTCTGCATCTCCGCGACTGAGTCCTCCCTCAAGATCCACCTCCCTGACAACAATAAAACTTACTTTGACAGCAACTTCTCTTTGTGATCTGGTTTTGGTGAAAAAGATCTGCTGGGAAGCAAATTATTCTTCAACTCCTTTACCTATTGTAGCTTCTTTCCTGCTCTTAGGTTTTTTAACTTGTCCTCGTATTTTGTTTTGTAGTGCTGTCTTAGGTTATATTCCATTACAGCGACGTTACTCCCGCAAAGGAGACACACTGATTTACCTGCAATTTCAGTAAACATACACTCATCTTCCCACCAACTTTGCTCGGTTGCATTCCTCGGTTTTCAGAAACAGTTTTACTCTTGGCCATTGTTGGGGTCAATCTTTGATTTGATATTAGCGTTGTATACAAAAACAGACCGTGGACTTGAACCCTGGCTTGCCGTTGGCGGCAATTTCACTGCATCTTTGGATTTGTAATGTATTATTGGAGCTTCATATCACAGGGCCGTTAAAAGAAGACACATAAAATGATCTCGTGTTTGACACCCTTTAGTTTGACACATGTGCCTTAGGGAAAAAGCATTTATAATAATGGATGGATGATGCCATATGCCAAATATATCTTTGAGTCATGTGATCACAGGGCTGTGGCTGCTGCTGTTTAAATGTCATGTTTGGTGACAGCACAAGTAAAATTTTATCACTCTCTGATACATTAGTACCTAAAGGTCAATCTGGAAAAGTTTGCAGTGTGGCATGTGAGGGATCTGTGGCACAACTGAAGTGTGGTAAGTCTTTTTTTTTTACTGTCCATGTAGTGCAACATGAAATAACTGACATGATTACCAAGACAGTTCATGATCCCTGAATGCCTAACTGACTTTTGTTGCTTTTTTGTACTTCCTATTCTGACTTATCCTATTTGGCAGGCCAAGGCCAGGTTATATCTGTCCAGAGGGCTGTATATGGACGGCGCGATCGGACAACATGTACAATTGGGCGACCTGCCTCCCAACTTGAAAATGTGCGCTGCTCAACACCTGCAAACAAAGTTGCTGAAAGGTATAGATTCCCTACTCTTTTCATTTGTAATCAGTATTTTTTCATTTGCGGTTACTCTTCAGTCGAAATTCAAACCTGTATTTGCATCCATAGATGCAATGGGAAAAGCAGTTGCTCTGTCGATGCGATAAACTCTGTGTTCGGAGACCCCTGTTATGGCACTTACAAGTACCTGGAGCTGGATTACATTTGCCAAAGTAAGTGAATCAAACCCCATTTGGAGCAGTATAACTCTTCATTTAAATTAATTTAAAGTCATATTTTTAACGTCTAAAGGCGTGGGCAGTACAGTGGTGTGGTGGTTAGCACCATTACCTCAAAGGAAGAGGGTTTCTGGTTTGAATCCCTGTGATGGACTCTCTCCTTTCAATCAGTGTCAACTGTTTTAAGCTCCTACAGTTTTTCCTATTATCATATTCTAAGTGTGACTCACGTTTTAAAAAAAGACACATTTGTAATGCACATTTGACTCTATATCACATGATGAATGCCAAATCTACCTTTGGGTCATGTGATGACAGGGCTGTGGCTGCTGCTGTTTAAATTTCAAGTTTGGTGACAGCAGGGCTAACATTTTCTTACTCTCTGATACATTATTACCTAACGGTCAACCTGAAAAGTTCGCAATGTGGCATGTGAGGGATCTGTGGCACAACTGAAGTGTGGTAAGTCTTTTTTTTTTTTTGAATGTCCATGTTAGTGCAACATAAAATAACTGCCATGATTACCAAGACAGTTCATGATCCCTGGATGCCTTACAGACTTTTGTTGCTTTTTTGTACTTCCTGGTCTGACTTATCCTATTTGGCAGCCCAAAGCCAGGTTATATCTGTCCAGAGGGCTGTATATGGACGGCGCGATCGGACAACATGTATAACTGGGCGACCTGCCTCCCAGATTGAAAATGTGCGCTGCTCAACACCTGCAAACAAAGTTGCTGAAAGGTATAGATTCCTTACTCTTTTCATTTGTAGTCAGTATTTTTTCATTTGTGATTACTCTTCAGTCGAAATTCAAACCTGTATTTGCATCTATAGATGCAATGGGAAAAGCAGTTGCTCTGTCGATGCGATAAACTCTGTGTTTGGAGACCCCTGTTATGGCACTTACAAGTACCTGGAGGTGGATTATACCTGCCAAAGTAAGTGGCTCTGTGGAAGCTTATGACTACAGTCTTTATTCTATCATCTAACTCTCATCTTATAAAAAAGCAGAAATTTCATGTCAGACTGAAGGTTTTGCATGTTCCACAAATTTTTGGAAGGGAGTGTAATCTGCATTGCAGCTTTAGACCAAGTGACTCAAATAGAACAAAATGCTAATACTAAAGAGTGAGAGGCCATTTAATGATAACACTACTTTTACAATAATCATTTTCAATGATATTGCTTGATGGGATTGTGACAAGATTTTTCAATTTAATTCATTTTGATTAATGATCTAAACATGCTTAATAAATTATACTTAATAGGGTGGCACGGTGGTGTGGTGGTTAGCACCGTCGCCTCCCAGCAAGAAGGTTCTGGGTTCAAGTCCCGGGGGACCCAGGACCTTTCTGGTTGGAGTTTGCATGTTCTCCCTTCGTCTGTGTGGGTTCTATCCGGGTTCTCCAGCTTCCTCTCACAGTCCAAAAACCTGCATGTTAGGTTGATTTGACATTCCAAATTGCCCTTAGGAGTGAATGTGAGTGTGAGTGGTTGTTTGTCCTTGTATGTCTTGTGTGTGGCCCTGCAATGGACTGGCGGACTGTCCAGGGTGTACCCTGCCTCTCGCCCGTTGACTGCTGGGATAGGCTCCAGTTCCCCCCCCGACCCCATCAGGGAATAAGTTGTATTGATAATAGATGGATGAGTTAAACTTAATTATTTTTTATCTTTACAACGAATCATTTCTGTATCTTAAAAGTAGTAGAATAAGAATACAACTAAATGCAGCATGGAGGATAAGAAATTTCATTTTTGACAATGAAATGTAAGAGATAAAAATATTGAGTGACACCTTAAATTATTATCCCAACGGAAAAGTATTTTAGGGGACCAAGGTCAGTGACATGTTTGTCTGTAAACTGTTAAAGAATATTAACTACATTTGGTTAAAACACAGTTTTAAAGTATTTAGATATTGGCCTTGTAGTTGTAGGCATTTTAGACAATGCTAGTTTGAGGCAGCTGGCCGCCCATCTTGAGGTTTCTGCCTCTTAAAAGGACATTTTTCCTTGCCAGCGTCGCCTAGTGCTTGCTCTTGGTGGGACTTGTTAGGCCTCTGTAAATAACTTCAGAGTACAGTCTGGACCTGCTCTTTATGAGAAGCGCTGTGAGAAAAATAAATAAATTAAATTGAAATAAAGTGAATAGTTGTAGTTTGGTAAGATGACTTTATATTCTGCAAAATATGGAAATGGAAATTTTATAATGAAAGAAAAAAAACTGAATAAATAGGTGTGTCTAAATATTCAATTCTGTGTTCAGAAGACATAGTCCTTTAGTCCTATGCTAATCAACATATTAGTCAAACTAAAAATACAATGTGTCATCAGTGGCTGGATGAAGAGAACCGCCCTGGGCCAACAAAACTACACAGACCAGAACAGGATTTAACAGTTATGACAGACAGTCACGATATTCAACTTGTCTTATCTTTTTTTTTTCTTCAACATATACTGTACATTCTTCTAGTTGAAATGAGTAATGCCACTGAGTGTTGGGATATTCTTTTTTCATTTTGCAAATGTGCGGACAATGTGGTAGAGACTGCTGCTATGTAAATGTCTTATGACATAGCTCCAGTTGCTGACTTTGAGATAAGAAAAAAAAGGATGTAATATCCGGTGTGAGACGTGTCACACCTGTTTATTACAGCTTCTAAGTATGTAACGACAGAAATATATTGCAGTGAGAATATTTGTAGTAACCAACCGTGACCAACTGTTCATTTTTAGTTTTTACTCTGTAACAAGTGGGACGTGAATCATAAAATTTTGTTTCAACTATTTTGCATAGCCATGTTGTTGTTATCAAGAGGGCCATACTGCAGTTTACTCCAGTTTAATTGGATTCTGAAATTTGTATTACAATATTTTATCAAATCCTGTACACTGGACCTTGATTTAATTTGTCTAATTTGGACACTTGTTCTTTTGCAGATCATGTGACTGGATAAAATCACTGACATAACAATGGAGATGTTATGGCTGAGCGACAAATCATTCTCTATCTTTGTTAAACCTTTTTTAGCATAGACTTTCACCATACAAGTGTGGACTGAAATGTCTTTAATCCTTAGAAAAAACACCTAGTGATTTCGTGATTTTGCATTTCTCTACCTTCATTTGTATTTTCTTTCCTTCCATCTGGAGTTGTTACTCTGCAACATTAATAAACTTTACTTGCATCTACGTGCATCTGATGAATTTAGGAAAATAAGTTTTACATATGTGTGTGCCTGTGTGTGAAAGTATATACATATATATGTATAATTATTATAAGAGGAGGAAGAGTATTGTATCTGGAGGGAGAGGAGGGTATCTGGAGGAAGAGGATGTTATCAGGAGGCCCCGCCCCTTGCTCCTCACTGATGATCCTCTTTGTTCCCGCGGGGCCCCTCGAAGGGGGCCTGAAGGGCAGGCTGCCGGTGGCGGTCTGGTAGAAGGTGACCCCGATGCTCCACAGGTCCACGGTGGCGCCGTACTCCTTCTGGCGGTCCTTGCGCAGCACGGAGCGGTCAAACATGTCTGGGTGCTGTGAAAGTAGCAGTAACAGAGCTGTCTGCCACATAAAACGTGACAAAGGACACCAGCACCACTTAAATCCCTCTATCGTTTTGACCAGGAGACATTAAAGGGAGTTACTAAGTGTAAAAAAGGGACGGGGGGGTCACAACCCCAAAATGCCTTGTGCAAGCAATTTAAATTGTCTTTTTTTCTGATAGACCCTGGTGTCCCTCTGTACAAAGCACACATGGCCATCGTGTTTGGCTCCTCATAGGCTCAAGCCAACACTATAGACAAGCCAAATGTCGGTTCCCTGATTTGGCCAGAGGCTCCCAGGCTGGTTTTGAGGGCCCCAGCCCAAAAGCCGGGTTTCTGGCGTGGACAATGGGTGGTCCCTCCCTTCAAAATTTCTTTTACAATTGTTGTTTTAGGTGACAAAGATTAACCCAAGATTAACTCTTTTTGTAGTTGTAGTTTGTAATTGGGTGAAAAGATTGTGCATATTACATGTAATAACAGCTGTCGGGCCAAAGTCAAAGGATCCGATAAGATGAGTTTTAGAGTTGAGGTTTTAACAGGCGTTTATCATATGATTATGTCCAAAGCACACAGCGTGACTGACTTGGAGGACTCTGTTACCCAGAATCCTTTGCCCCATAGAGAATGAATGGCTTTCCTGCCTCCACAATGTACTGTTCTGTCACCTTGTCGGAACTGCTGTGTCGCCCCCTATTGGTCAACCCGGGCTTGTCATACATTGTTGGATACGTCTATTTCTCAGCTCTCGGCCAATGTGACCAATCCTTTTTCTCATGACACCCTCCTCTTCCTTCTCTTCCTCGTCTTCCTCCTGATACCCTCTTCTTCCTTCTGTTCCTCTTGATAGCCTCCTCTTCCTCCTGATACCCTCCTCTTCCTCCTGATACCTTCCACTTCCTCCTGATACCCCAGGCCCCAGATGGCACCCGGGTCCCTCCAGCTGTGTGTCTCCCCATGGCCATGCTCTGTTTCACTCCTTCTTAGGCGCATGCCATCACTACAGATAGCCAAAATTTTCATTGTCCAACCTCATCAGGGACTCCCAGGCCGGTTTTGATGGCCCCAGCCCAAAAGTCCCGGTTCCTGGAGTGGGCCCTCCTCACCAGGTAGTCCTCGGTGCCGTACAGCTACACAAACAGCTCATCATCCTCCAGCTCGCTTGGGCGCCAAAGTCTGTCAGATTGTAAACAGAGCGGCCGTCCTCCCCGATCAAACGTATGATGTTCCCGGGCTTGATGTTGCGGTACACAATGCCATCCTCCTTAAGGTGCTTCCAACCAGCCGCTGGAGGCAGAGCCAGGCGTTACTGGGGCAACACACACACACCTGTGCCATGTCACACCTGCGTGCTGCTCACCCATGTCGTGGAGCATGATGAGGAGTTAGTCCTCCGGCAGCCTGTGGGCATCGGAGGGCTCCTCCAGGACGGTGTAGAGGCTTCCGCATGGGGCAGTATTCCTTGACCAGGACCTTATGGCGGGTGTTGGACTGGAGGTAGGGGGATGGGATGGTGAGGGGTATAGATATATGAATTTGGGCTCTCTGTAGTGGAATTGATTTGCTATTTCAGGGAATTCCAGACTGGAACAATGTTTAAATGATTCATGATTAAATGATCAACAATTCGTATCTATTTGTGGGCGGCAATGTGTGGTGGTTAGCACCATAGCTGGGCAGCAGGAGGTCTAAATCGCTGGGGTACTGGGGGCCTCTCTGTGTGGAGTTTGCATGGCCTCTGTGTCATTATGGGTTACTTCCAGCTACTAAGGCTTCCTCCAACCATACAAAAAAAATAAAAATAAAACATGCATTTTGGTTAGTTAAACACTGCAAATTGTCCTTTTAAGTAAATGTGAGTGAGCTTGTTTGTCTATATGTGATTGAATGTTGATCTGTTCAAGGTATACCCTGCCTCTCACCCAATGTCAGATGAGATTGGTTGTAGCCCCCCATGACTCTTGTAGGAGTAAGAGGTATAGATAATGGATGGTCATCTATTTGAACTGAAAGCATGAATACACATTTCTGCATAATTTCTTAAATTTAGAGTTTTAAAGTAGCAACATAACCTGTCTGGTAAAACTCATGATACAATCATTTTTATATTATTATGATTTTTTACACTGACCATTGAGATGAATGAAGAAATTTCTATTCTAAAATATTTCCTGTGATCCAACATAATGCCAGAGTTTCTGACTTTCTCACTGTGAGACAGTAAACACAGGTATGAACAGATTTCCTGCCTATAGATAGTTTGGGCAACAGCAAGGTTTTCAACAAATGTCTTGTATGTTTAGAACTGTATCTTAAAACATGTAGTTTAGTGGCTTGTGAATAATAGTCAGAAAATGAGATGTAAAACATAAGTATATAACATTTTTAAATCATA